GCTGATTGTACATTCCTACCATCTTCAGTATTGGAGAGAACAGACAGATTTACAGATCTGGAGTTATTAAGTTGTAGGCAGAGCCCTGATAAGTGGACCATTAAAAACTAGAATAAAGATTTTGTTGCTTAAAATGGCTTCTGAAATTTTCTAAATGTAGGTATCAAATCATTGTGATGGTGTAGCTATAGACCAGTTACTATTTATTAGGTAATTGCCCCCTTTATTTTAGAACTGCTTTGGAAATGAAAGGTGAGAATTTAGACAATGGAACTGAATCCTAAATTATGTTCTCTAGACATTCTATGTTTCCACCACCCAATCCTAATTTTACTTAACCTACTGTCTTTAGAAATATATGGAAATCAATTTAAGTTTGACAGTTTAACTCCAATATAAAATAAAATATGCCATGTCTGTTTTTGAGTGTGTGTGGTGCACCTAGATATCTGGTACTGAAGTGATGAGGGAACTATGGGTATTCACCTTGCTGTCATGCTGTTCCATTTGATGGTAGTGTATGCTCAGAGTGTGGAACTCATCTTTATGTGGTGAGCTTGCCTCTTCTTATTTGAGTCACTTCCGAATACCAGAGAATCCAGCATCTGTAGACTTAAGCAACTGCAGTTCAAAAGTGTTTGGGAGATTTTGTGCTCAACAGGCACAGATTTCTTTTCTTGTTGTTATTCCCTGAAAAGTGCAGCATGCTATCAATTTGCACAGCATTTCCATTATGTTAAGATGATAAGCAATCAAGATATGATTTCAGAAATCAAAGTTGAAGGCAAATAATGGACCATTTAACACAAAGACTTGGAGCTTCTGCACTTGGTATTTACGGGAGTCCTAGGGCCAAATCCCCTTTGGATACCAAGAGTTGGCACTATTTCTTTGAAGATTGCTGTTTGTCATCAATCCTTATTCCAGGAGGAAACTGTAGAGGAGATGTAACTGAAATTATTTGGCCTTACAAAACGTACTTGTGGGCTTGTGTGGGTTTGTATAGAACTGTGCATTACTTGAAGGGCCCTGTTTATAAATTCCCATGTGACTCTAAAGAAGGTGATGCTCTGCCTCTGGGTTCTCATACTGTGAGCCAGTGTCCCTTCTGAAGGGCAGGCTTTGCCTCATTTGTTTCTTAGGAGGTTTTGTTTATGAGTCTGAAGTAAGCTAGCTAGGTAGAGGGAACAGAGAGGCATACTGCATGGTGGCTGGAGGCAAAGCAACCACAGAGCTGTGTGATAGAGCTGGGTGTGATGGGATTGCTCAAACAGTAAAAACAGACTATCCAAACTGGCTGCGACCAACACAACTGGCCAAGTCGCCCACTAACTGGGCTACGCTTCAGTATGGTACTTTATTGGTAGCCTTCCAGAATTGGATGTTCCAATTATGCATCTGATGCTATAATGACACACCCCCAAACTCCATATAAGGATAGAAAAGTGTTCCAGGAAAATCCCACCCCTTTTCTGGAATCCCTCACCTTATTTCATGAATAATTCTCTCCTCTATAAATGTTTTCTATAAGACTGAGTGGTGCTGCTACAGTCTCCCAAGAAGCTCTTCCTTCCTCTTGGGGGTTTACTTTTGCTCTGTAAGGAAATTTCCTCCTTACTCTAAGTCTTTGCTTTTTTTCCTCTGTGAATTATTTCTCTGATCATGACAGGAAGTGGGAGGCACTAGATAGAGGCACCGGTTTGTTCTCTGAGACCTTCCTAGTCTTCACCAGCCATCACAACGTTGCTGTTTGAAATGTCCTCCTGTATAGGTACAAAATGCTGTCTAGGATTCAAACACAGGGAAAGTATTAAGTGCCTTCTATAGAAAGCATGCATGTTAGACTTCATGTAAACATGACTTCATACATGCACAATGGACTGTGAGTTCAGTGGAAACTGATTGGTAATGTATATTAAACAGGACACCCTTAAATAGAAACACACATGAAACAGGTTTATGTATTGATTTGTTGATGAACTTTCTCAACTAGAGCTCACAACAATACTATGGTAGTCATGGAAATTTTGCAGAGTACACCATGATGAAAGATGAAAACCTCTGTACTCATTTCCTCTTTACTTTTTTATTCCCGTAGTGACAGTAGCAATCTAGCCTCAATTCAAAGATGATGGAGTTGTATGTATATATTTATGTGTATGTGTATATTTATGCACATATATGCACATCTCTGTGTGTATGTGAACTGTGAATTGCTGGTATCAATCCACAATACTGATTCCTCTTTGGAGAAAATTATATATATGAACAAAGCAGTTTTGCCCATCTTAAAACCAAAAGTCTTCTTAGGTGATGGTTACCTATGATATTTCTACGGAGTCATGCTTGTGTTTCACATCTTTGATCTAGGACAGAATTCTTATTTATTTCTTACAATCCTTAGAACAGAACCTTATCAGAATCCTACTTAAGGTTTGCTCATTTATGCTGTTGTGGAAGGGATAATGGGGCTGGTCCTGAGAAAAGAGACGTTAATCATATCATTGGGATTACAGTTATTTTTTCTTGCTGTTTTTGTTATAGCTATCAATGGTTCCCTCAACATACTATGCTATTCTCGAAGATACTACCTTCATCCCTCTAGCAGCTGTAGTTATTTGACTAGTTAATTGTGTTTGTTGTTTCAAACAGGTGGATATTAGTGAGGCCTTCTCACTACTTCAAGGACTCATCATTGTACTTTTGTAACAGAGTGACAAAGTCCCTGAGATTATCTGGGACACTACAACCTCCAGACAGCCAGTTAAATATGCTCAGCCAACTAGGCACAGTTTCTTCAACTCACAGATGCTTCACCAGCACTTCATCTGTCAATGAACTGCCTATTTTTCTGTTTCACATTCTTATTCCCAGAGGCTATCTGCCCTTGGAATTAAGCACCTGTTCTGCCACAGGTGGGTGTTTGGGTTGACCTTTCAAATTGAACTGCTTTTGTCAGAACTTTCAGTACAAAGAATAAAGCATAATGCCATGTTCTCAGTGAAAGACAGAGTCACCATGTGTCTCCAAGTGAACAAGTGAGAGGTAATGCCTTTGAAATGAATCTACCCAGCCAGCAGCCTCCTCAGTCCTGGGAAAAGACCAAACTGTCTGCCTTGGCTGGCTCCTGTGCTACTGGATCTCTTTATAGAAAATAGAAATCAGAGGGGATAAAAAAGAGGAAGATGATGTGGACTAATAAGGAGAAAAGATTCTTGGATGCTTTGGCAATTGTTTCACTCATTTTAAACCCAGGAACCCACCCATAAATTTGGGGTATTTTGTTATTTCAGTATTACTACTGTAAACCATGATTTCTCTGATGATCTAGCAACAGAATTAACTCAAGTAATCAATTTCTATCCTAATAAGCAGAAAATTATGTGAGCTAGGTGACATGCAGGGGTGTTGAACTAATGAATATCTTTTCTTGGATAAACAATTGATTTTGTTTGTATTGCTTCACTTGTCCTAGCATAGATAACCCCCAGTCCATTCTTGTTCTTCCATTTTATGATTCTGTGATTCTTTTTTTCTCCAGGAACAATGAACAACGTATCTTCCTTATTGAAAGCCATATTTAAATTTCAGCCTTACCTGTGGAACGAGTCTGATTTTACTCTTTCATTTGAGTCTATCTCTGTGCTGAAATACAGCAATTAAATGCTTTAAAGCATATATTTCCTATTGATCTCCTTCCTGTATTTTTCCTTCTGCTGTTAGCCTTTCTCTCAATAGATGGTGCTCTTTTCTCAGAGACATATTCCTCACCCAAAGAACAGAGAAATCAGTTTTATTTTAAACAATCATTAATTAAAGAAATCAGACAAGCAATTTGCAGTACCTTGGGAACAAAGGCATAATGAGGGAAATGATCTTTCAATGACTTGGAAGCTGTGACATGTGTGCTGAATAGGTGAAGCAAATATTGTAACTAAACCTGAACAGTGCCATGCTCATGATGCCACATAACCCCACTGAGAAGAAGGACTCAAATCAGGAGCCATCTTTAACATGCTGAGGTGTCTATCTACTTTACCAAAAGTGCATTAATGAGTATTCCACACTAACAGGCAGAATCTGAACATGTGACTCAATGACACCACACTCAACATCACTCTCAGTACTGAGACCCTGCTCAGTCTTTGCCAAATTCATCCAGAACACCCCAACCAACAGAAAGTCGACCTCAAACTCTTTTGGAAGTAAGGTAGAGACACTTTCCCCTCCAGACCATCCTGAACAACTCCCAATAATACACAATGTTGCTGATATTATAATCCCTAATTGACTCTCACATTTGCAAGCACTGAAAAATGGTTATGCCTTGTAGATGCCCTGAGCTACCCAGATGCCACCTGGGATCCCTGAGCAGATCTGCAGGAAGAAAGTGCAAACTGGGTTAAACATCACAACAGTAGACATGCTACATCCAAGCCACCCTGCCCTGGAAAGATGCCATGAAAGCTCCTTCATGGGGCAGCCTCAGGATGGAAGAAGAGTAAGTTAAGGACTCCCCAAGCACAGAGAATGGTTGGGGCTGTGGTCCAGCCTAAACCTGCTAAGAAAGTTAGTGAGTTCATTTCTTTAACCTACTAAGAAGCCTCTGCCCTTCAGTTATGGAAAGCTAACCAGATTTTTCCTCTCGCTTTTCACAGCTCACTCTTCTTATAGCTCATGCAGAGGGATGACTGACTGTTAAGACATGCTTCAAAGACCCTCTTAGCTTAGAATAAGAAGGGAATCTAAAATGCAGCCCCCCTCACCCACACCCATATCTTAAAAGCTCTGCCCAAAGAAACTTCTTCGTTTTGGGATTTTGAACACTGCTTTATCAAGGGAGGGAGAAAAACCCAGAACAGTAAAATTTCACACACAAACAGAAAGTGCTCTATCCAAGTCACCCCCTCTTTGTATCCTGCTTTCTTCTCTGTAACAGACTTTGTCTACTTCTCACCCCCTCCCCTTTGCGGAGCTTGGGCGCTCAGGGCATTCCTTACCTGACAATCACATACATGACCAGGAAGTTTCCGAAGAGGCCCACTACGCACACGATAGAATAAAGGGCCATGATGGTTATTGCAGTGATCATGGAAGGACTGCCAGCCGAAGAGCACAGGCTGTCGCTCCCGCCAAGCCCGGTGCGGTTCAGACCGCATGGGTCGGACTGGTTGCCATCTACATGGGACAAGTTGAGCCAGGAGGCAGGTGCTGGGGAGCAACTTGCGGGAGCCAAGGGGTCAGAACAGTCGCTGGTGTTTCCAGGACCGCTGCGGCTGTCCATGGTGCTGAAGGCCTGTGGCGGGCTCGATGTGGGTAGTAACTGAGAGCTCCAAGACTTTTTGGGTTTCAGGATCCCCAGCCTCTTCCTCTCCCGGCTGCCTCAGCTCCGTCAGTTTCTTACACAGACAAGCCCTGGCGGAACCAGAGAAGAGCGTCAGCCAGAAGGGAACGCCTGAGCGTCTGATATTCTCCTCTGCTTGTAGCCCCCTCCCACCTCAGAAGTAGAAGAAGCAGTCTTTAGCATCCCAAAGCACTGCTCACTGGGTGGAAGGGAGGGAGCACACTGTGAGGGATCCAGAGGCTGGAGAGGAGGGAGGAGAGAGAAAGGGTGGATTTTGCGCAAAGCAACTCAGAGTCAGTCTCCTTGTCTCCACGCACTTCCAAGCAAAACGAGTGTAAAGTGGGGTAGGAGGGGTAAAAACGGACGTGGCAGAGAAGGGTGGGAAGAGAGACGGTTAAGTTTTTTTGCAACAAGAATACATAAGGTAGAGGGTTTCAATGACTATTTTTTCAGCGCTGTTTTTCTTCTCTAATCAGTCAGGAAAGTCATTGATCAGTTATGATCTCAGTGACTCTTAAACCCCAATATTCTCCCCCACTCAACTCCCCAGAGCAATAATTTGGGGCTGAAGACCCAAATTATTTGTTGTTGTTGTTCTTCTTTACTTAGATCCCCATATCTGAAGCAAAAAAATATAACTTCAACTTTTCAACCAGACAAATTCATTCAAATCAACAATGGTTTTCCTCTGAAAAAGAAAAAAAATTGTAAAGGAAGCCTATTTCTTGTTCTCCCATTCTCTAAATGTATCTTGGACTAGATGGTCCATTTGCATCTGAATTTGTCCCAGTAAAGAGGAAGCACAAGAAAACATTACAGAAATGAGAGAGGAGGGGCACTATCCAGTAAAATACACTAAAGATCACACTGCCTCTCCTAGTTCCACTCTCATGGACCTGCTTAGAAAGAGTAATCCTTTAGCTTTTACACTTAATTCCTGGTCACGAACTTCTGGGGTGCAGGCTATTGAGTCAGGCAGAAATTGCACAATTTTATTCTTCTTACTGTAGAGATTCCAAAAAGATCCATACGGCTCCTTTGAGAGTGACATAGCCCAAACAAGACTCTTGAGGAACAAGAATGCATTAAAACAAAATTCAATCTTATGTCTAAGTTCACAAGTGCTTCCAAACCAATACAATTTTAAAGTTAACAGTAGTGTGCTTTCTTCTTCTTTTTATCTCTGTGCATGCATATGCTTGTGCATACCCACAGTTTTAACTTATAAACTTTGATTAATTGTGGAAAGTTTAACAGTATTCTCACAGACTGTGGAAAGCAAGCTTAGAAGGAACACGTAATTCCAATTTTACTTTTAGACATTCATCTTGAAAACAGATAACTCACAGCTCAAGTATTAATCATAGACTTTTGGCCAATGTTCAGTATTATTTTTACCCTTTTCCATTAAAGGGTGTAATTTCAGCAATAATGTAGATAAGGGTTCCCAGTGGCTGCTAAAATGCCTTTAAATACATTCTCCTAGGAATAAATGTGTCAGTTCACTTGGCTGAGCTGAAATCTGTGTGCTGCTCATTCATCAGTCTCCCGAGGATGCACAGAATCAACCTCACTCCCTTCATGGGAAAGACGAGTCAGCACATGGCAGTTATTGCTGCCTTTGCTGTCAGATTGTTTTGTGATATAGTCCTGTCATCTCTAGCAGTATGAATTTGAATATGTTTCTTTACCTAATTGAGTCATAGTTTTCTTTTCAGTGTAAGAGCCTGAACTTTATTTCTAGGGCTGGAGAGATGGCTCAGAGGTTAAGAGTACTGGCTGTTCTTCCAGAGGTCCTGAGTTCAATTACCAGCAATCATACAGTTCCTCACAACCACCTATAATAAGATCTGGTACCCTCTTATGGCCTGCAGGCATACCTGGAGGCAGAATGATATATATATATATATATATCAAGTAAATCTAGGAAAAATGAACCTGAACTTTATTCAACCATATGTTCTCATCTGAGATCAAAATTTTCCTTCTAGTTTTGTTTCTCATGCTTCACAGAGAGTAATTATCATCTTTAGATTACTCCAAATGCAACATTTCCTGAACACTATTTCATATCTTCATCTATCTATCTATCTATCTATCTATCTATCTATCTATCTATCTATCTATCTATCTTCCTATCCATTTCCTGTATGTCCTATTCATTCAACACAAACTTTGAGAAAACACAGACAAATGAAATTTATGTCAAAATACAAGCATTAAATTAGCCTTGAAAGGTCTATTGAAAAGTTATACAGAATTAATAATTTCATACCACTCAATAGACTATGGAAGGACCCCAAGCTCAATTCCCACTATTTCTTTGTTATTTCTTAGTTATTGCTCATTTTCTTACTGAGTGATTTGAAGGTCTTCATGGAAGCTTAAATCTCCCATAAACAGAGGCAGATAATTCAAAATGACTCAGCAAACTGAAATCCTCATTATTTTATAAAAGCCAGATTACCCATGAGTCCTTTAATTTCCTAGAGCTGTAGTATATTGTCTGTGGGAATATCTGCCTTTTCACTGATGTTTCTTGCTGAATCTTGATTTTCCATTTGAATCAAGGATAATTTAATACCTACTGGTCTAGATTTAATTTACATAATAAAACTCATATAAAAATACTACTTTTCATGAAATTGTTTGCTTCAAAGAACTGCATTTAATCACCATATGGATGGATCTGGCAATGAGCTAAGAGTTGTTTCTCTTTCTTTGATTTCAGTGTCTATTGGCTTTAGGCATTCATATGATGGCCATCAATTTAACAGTTTAGTCATGATTGTTTTTGAGAGTGGTTGTTAATGGAACACATGATTAAGAGCTGTTAATGAAAGCCAAAATCATAAATTCTACATATAGACTAATTACAGTGGTTAGAAGCTCAGAAAAGGAAGCTCATATAGGGCTTCATCAGGAGAACCGTAATGTTCTTTGTAGCTGTTTCTTACAACTAACATTTAAATGTGTGCACTTAATAAGAAGGCAGTTGAGTTTTGTTACAATATTATTTTAGACTACTGGAATACTGTATGACCCTTCAATCAAACAGACTAAGATGCCTTGGTTTAGAGTTTAAAAAATAAAAAGGTAAATTAAAAATAAAAACTCCTCACCAATTTCCATGTGATAAATCTAAGAGGATACTTGAAGCAGAATTAGTAAAATCCCTGAACTCTAAAATTTAAAAAGTAGCCCCAAATGCAGACTCTACTGTCCATTTTCTTGAGACTTACATTCTTTATGCTTCCTGTTAATTGGTTCCTCTTGTGTAAGATGAAAGAGTGAGAATCAACTACAAAGCAGTTTTCCAAGATTCCATGTATTTAAAAGGGCATGCCCTTTGTCTTCAAGTTCATTGTCAAGAAGAATTCTTGGAGATATCACAGGATACTTAATGGCACAAATTTATCCTTAAGAGTTTTTATCTTTTAAGGGGCCTGGATGTTCTAATAACAGTTTAGCTGACAGCCTTTCAAATCATTATTGTAAACAACTAGCTTAAGTAATTAATTCACAGGTCTATGTGCCTTTTTTCAAGTCTGGAAGCTCATTTTTTTTTTAAATTAGGTTTTAGTTTTCAGTTTCTGCCTATGGGGGGTTATAGTATCTTATTTTATTCTGAAACTGTAGTTATTCTTTTTTTACAGATATTTATTTTATTATAAACATATTAGGTACAAAGTCAATGTAAAATATAAATTTATATAGACTACACTTTAAAATTGTGCTTCATTCCTATTAGTAAATTGAAGAAGCTAACCTATTTTAAAACCAATAAACAAACTAGTGAAGTTCACTGTATTGTACATAGGTGCAGGGACAATGTCAGACCTACATAAAGTTGTACATGACAAACCACCACAGGAATAATATAACACCCCTCCTTTCTCAGCAGCACTATTTCTCTTCCACTGTGTCAGTCTCATCGAACAGAGGGCACAGTGCTGCATTAGGACGGCAAACAAAAGCATCCTCTCCCAACTCAGACAACTGTCCCAGTGAAGATACACAAGGGTCCTGGTCTTTTAACATATCCAGCAGTTGTAAAGTCTTTTCTTGAATGCGTCGAGAAGGCCTCACTGGTGTGAGAAACTTTAGCTCTTTAACTGTAGAATTATTACCATGTTGCATCTTCTTTTTCATACTTTGAAAGCATGGAGTAGAAGATACATTATATCTAATTAGGCAACCTGCTTCAGTTTTTGAATCAGGGGTTATAAAATCTCCGGCTGGATCTTTTGTTTCTTTGTCTTGGTTGTTTTCATAAACTTTACCATTCCTCTGATCCTCATGCTCCTCTCCTGAATTTACTGGTTCTAGATTGACACTTGTTTCTTCAATTTTGACTTCCTGGGTATGTCCCTTGGTTGCATGACCCTCCTCAATATTTTCTCCCAAATTAACTTTTTCTTGACTCTTCATTGTTAGAATATCTATGATTATATGTCGCATCTCTTCAATAGGCTGAGCCCCTGCCAGAATGGCCTTCTCATAGACTGAGATAATATTTTCATTAGGACTTGTGACTGGTTCAGTACGAACAAGACATATCCAATACTTAACAAATTTTTGGCATCTGGAATATTACGAATCAGGTCATTCAATGTGTCTACAATTTCTTCTTTTGGGCATCCCTTCTTATTGATCAGGTTCAGGCATTCAGAAATTGTCTTGTTTACTTTTTCAGTAAATAATCTCTGTTCGTCTTCTTCTGCCATGGTAGTCCAAAAGGACCCAACTGGGTTTTACTTTTGTCCCCTTGTCTCAGACTGATTAGCTATTAAGTTAGGAGGCCTTTTTAGTCCTTTTCCTTTGCCAGTTCTCCGCTCAGTCACTGGAGCTTTTTTCTCTTCTGTGGTTTTGTTGGGCTGAACTATCTAGGAATAGTTGCTCCTGCTACTGTGTATCTGCATCGGTCCATATTTTCTGACTTTTCTATCAGCCTGGTATTAGACAAATGAGTCCTGGATGCACTTTCAGATGTTATACTTCTTGATGGTGCCTTATCTCTTTTTGTGTTCGG